CAGTAGGGCCAAGGCCACCTGCAGGGAAAGTCACTTTAAGATGAGAACTAGATCTTCTAGGAATGAGCTCTGGGAATCGGGGTCGGGTCTCCTATGCCCATTCGCCTCATCGCCCCAGCTTATTTGGCACTAATTTATCCGTTTTGTGGTCCATAACTCAAGTCTCAATCTTTTGTTTAAATAAGAATGAACTCAGGCAGGGGACAAGGGCCTAAGGCAGACAGACAGCGGACACCGGACAGCGGAGAGCGGAGAGCTGGGAGGAGGAACTTCTACTGGTTACTGGCTACTGGTTACTGGCTACTGGTTACTGGTCTACGGTGTTGTCTAACTGCAGCAGCAGCAAGCACCATCATCAGCATGATTAATTGATGAAAATCCCTTTTGCCATGCAGGATAATAAATTACAATACATGGACGTACACGGACGCGGACGGACACGGTTGGACACAGGTGCGGCAGAACGGGGCGGACGTGCAGCATGTGCCGCAAATAGCCGACAGGAAGAGGCGGCATATGGGGCAAGCTTTGATTTGGCACGCAGCATGCATATGCATGAAAGTGTGCTGCTCTGCTCTCTGTCTGTCTGTCTGTCTTTCTGTGGCTCTCTCTATACACGGAATTAAGCTCTACGGCGGAGGCGGCGGCATCCGTTGCCGTATCCATTCCACGGGCCAGGACGGCGCTGACGCGTTGCCTGCTTTCCAAATTAGCTTAATTTCATTTAAAAGGATACAGCGTTGCAGCAAAAGAGAGAAAGAGAGAAATGGCGAAATGAGAGGGCAAGGGTATGGCTGGGCATGTTTGATATGAGGGAAACCGGAAAAAGCCGAGAAAATGCTATCTGAGCCAGACGATGCAACCCCTCGTGCTTGGCCTTTGACAATGAATGGCTGATGGAATGTGGGGCACACATGCCGGGACGGAGGAAGAGGGCATCAGATAGTCATCAGACACTGCCACACTGGCACTTTTTCCCCCGCACTTCCTGTTCCAGGTCTCTATGTCTGTGTCTGTGTATGTGTCTGTGTCTGTGTGTTTATAATTCATTAGTTTGCTAAATATATTTCCGAGCTTAATTGGGTAGTAAAGCACACGGACTAAGCTCATAAAGCAGAGCCAGCAAGGCAAACAGCAACAGCAACAGCAACGGCAACGGCAACAGCGGCAACAGCGGCAACAGCGGCGAGTCCTTGACGAGGTCTGATTAAGCAAGTCGGAAGGAAGGAAAAGCCATAGCCGGCGAAATGTGGCAAATGAGCAGGAATTCACACTCACACTGCGGATCCATACGTGTGCATGTGTGTGTGTGTGTGTGTTCATTTTGCGCAAATTGCTAACCAGATTGCCTCCTTTAAAAGGATATAGAAAGGCAACCCAACCAGCAGAGAGCAAAACAAGTGGGGTCACATCTTATAAGTAAGCAGAAAATTTGCAACATTTTGCAAATGCAATACTTGACTCCACTTTTGGTTTTTCATTAACATTCATCAATTTCCGTGAGTCCCACAAGCAACCTTTTATCTGTTATATTTATGTGTTTTATATAATCAGGCGACCTGCACCGCTCAACAGTGATTTTTATCCAAAAGAAGCCTCTTCCTTCTTCAGCTTTCCAGATTTTTGATCCTTTTCATGAAGCTTAGTTTCAAAAATCGTTCCCGATGCTCGCTATCACCTGTCAGTTTCTTACGAATCATAAAGCTATTTAATAGTAGAGTAGAGTTCTTGGCTTGGAAGACTCTTATGAAGAAAATCCCCCTGCTGCAAGTCCTCTTTAATGTACATATCACTGTTGGAGACGAAATTTAATTTGCAAAACGTGTCTGCACTTCGGGTTATATCATAGTACAATTTTTACAACGATCCTGAGGCTCGTTCTTATAATAACACGATCTTCCTTACACTAGCTCCACCTTAGCTTAACTTAATACAAAAAATCTCCATTAAATATATGGCTTTTTCATTAGTTTATAGAAGGCAAAATAACTTATTTAAACTAAATTTTGTATTTCGACTGGTCAAACTACTAGAAAACTTTAAAATAAAAATGTATATCTAAAAAAATATATTTCCTCTCAGTCATGCTACGGTTTTCGCAAATTTTTGCAATTACGATTTCGCAAAACGCGTACGAATTGTAACCCATGTGCTCCTGTCTTGCAATATTTCGCAATCGATAGTGTTTCATTCCCAAATTGTTGTTTGATATTTCACTTAATAAAGAAATGTGTTTTTCTTTTTGAAATTGAAATTGAATTGCCTTCGTTGTGGCAATCGCAGTATATAAAATCAAAAGAATATGGAAAATTTGTGAAAGAACAAACAACATCTGTAACACAGGTCAAATAACTAACTAACTATTGATATCGAGGGAACTATTGATAATTTTCAAGGGAAATTCGCAATTTGCTGTTGTTTTGCTTTATTTGGCTGAAGTAAAATTTGAGGTGTCATTAGAAATACATATTTTGAATACATATATTAAGATCTAAAAGTTTACATTTTCGAATAATATAAAATCAAAACATCAGCAAATATGTTTATTTTTTCCGCTCATAAAAATGTATACTTACATATGTTCTATGTGCAATTTATTAGTAATTTATTAGCTCATAAGCAACCGGTTTTAAATCATACAAAAATCTTTCAATTTGTGTCAGTTGTGTCTTATGGTTCCTGGAAAGGCCGCGAGATCCCCATTGCTGGCAAAAATACTGGTTCATGTGAGAAAGAAAGACCCTTTTAAGCCGGGTATAGAGCCAAAAAGGGATCCTAAAAAAACGACAAATACCAGCAGAGTTACATCTTGCTTGACTGCAAGGTATGAGGCAAAGCAAATTCATTATGCAAAAAAGCACTGAAGTTGGCCCAAAGAATATTTGGGGTGAAGAAACTAAAGAACAATAAAGATCTTTGGGGTATCCTGCATTATTCGTGGATCAGTATCGCAAGGGTAAGATGCGGAAATTCAGCGAACTTTAATGCCGAGATATTTTTAAAACCAAATACTTTCAAACAATATATTCAAGAGGGTTTCGGTTTTCAATTTTACAAAATAAGTCAAAGATCCGCCCAAAAGTTCGCTAAAGATTTTTAACATTTCGCATAACTATTTCATAGTTTTCCAACCGCTACAGAAGCTATAGAAGGTACCTTGACAATCAAAGGAAATGTAAATATGTTGGTTTGTATGTATACTCATAAAATGATCTGAAAGAAAATCTCTTAAAGCAATAGAAAGATTCTGTCAGTCTCGTATAAGAGCATATGTATGGTATATTGTGAATTAGTACATATTTCATGTGATGTCTATGCTGAATCGATACTTAGAGGTTGAAATGTCTTTCAAATAACGAGTAATACATGAATATTTTTTTGATTTCCAGCTGGATAACTAAATTTCTTGCAGCAAATGTTCAACAAACGATCCCCCATCCGAGCAGAGTTCTATTGGACATGACGACTGCTCTTCTCATAAATGTTATTCCGTCCTCCGTTCCTCTGTTCCTCCGTTCTTCGTTCTAGAAACCACCGCCCACTCAGCTCCATTCTGTCCCATTCATGCGGCGACGAGCGAAAAGCTGTAAATGATAAAAGCTTATCTGGCAAATGTTACGTCGACAGCCGGTCCGCCGACAGCTGACTGCCAGCGACCTTTGTCCGGTGCTACTAAGTGGAGGGCAGGGGGCTTGGTTGTGTGGGGGCTATGGTGGGGCTGTGGGGCTGTGGATCGGATCGTTATGTGAACCGGTTTCGGGTAAGCACAAGATCAGACAAGTAATTAGTCCAAGACCAAGCCGAGTCCAAGATCTACAGTGGACGGGAAATACGTAGCTCTCCAATGACTCTCCCTCTCTGATGTCTCTCAGGTTGGGTTTTTATTTGTTTTTCTCAGAAATGCTCCCATTTCCATGAGCACTGCACCTATGATTCTTCGTCAATGTACACTTATGAAGAAATCCGTTGCGAAAATGAATTGAAATTCAGTAAAGCAGCAGAAAGCAATCCGAGACGAGACGAAAAAGAAAAACAGAATTGCTTATTCCGCAAACGCAGCAATCGATCGGGAAGCTTGAGTGCTGATCGCTGACGCTGCGGCTTTGTTCTTAATTTTTCATCTAGTATTTGTACTTGTTGTTTCTCTGGGTTGCCAGTCGGTGCCCCGGTCGGTTGCTAAACAGAGAAAACAGCAACAGAACCCGACGTGCGTTTTGGCGATATGATATTTACACATACAATATTGGTTATGGCCATATAAAGCAGGGTCTCCGATAAGATAGCGGAGCCCCGAGCAATCGGAAATGAGTAGAACAGAATGTTTAAGGCAAATTTATAATGTATAGTCGACTCTATCTATAGCCATGACTATCCCTGTGGCTATCCGTGTGACTATCCCTTCGATTCGTGGCTTTAACATTCGGCTGGACATTTTATCGTGAATCATTCACTCACACCTGAACGTAAGTACGCGGCAGAAGCGGATGCATGGGAAACTTTGTACTTTGCCTCACACACACACACTCACACACATGCGGACACATATTGAGGCAGTGGCAGTGGCGAAATCTGTTCCGTGCCCCCGAAGTGTGAATGATGTCACTGTCGGCTGATTGAACAAAGCACGAGCCGCGATCGCACAGTGGGTTCAAAAATGGAAAAATACATATAAGAACATTTTTAGAGATATGAAATGCAGGGAAAGGAGAGAGAGGATTTAATTTAAGATTTTCTATTGGTTGATGTCTATTTTCTGGTCAACTAAATCCTTCTCTCATTGATCTAACTTTCACATATCAGTCCATTCGTAATTGATAAACCAATCATTGAAATGGAAATCATTGAATCGATAAGACAATTGATGTAGCTCCCTAATCGTTACTGAATCCTGGGACTGATCCAATTAATGATCTACACTTCGAATGGGCTCAAACCACTGTACTCTGGTCCCGCCAGCAATCGTTTCGCTGTGGGGCTTCATTTCGTGGCGACAAGTCGGATTCATTCACTCGCCGAAGCGCACTCGAAACGGGCACAGACGGGCTCCAATCTCGAACCCAGAACCAGAACGCAGCCCCAGTCCCAATCCGCGATCACCGATCCACGATCCACTGCCAGCATGAACCAGTACGCACTGATGGCCGTGTGCCTGATGGCCGCCCTGGGGGCCATCCTGCTCGAGGTCCAGGCCAACCCCAGCCCCGCTGTAGCGACTCCCCAGCTGAGTCCCAGTCAGCTGGGCGGACTCTCGGCCCAGTTCCTGCCACCGGAATACCGCAACACAAACATCAGCGTGGGTGAGTTATATGACGGACCAGAGGCATGCGGATCGTGTTGTTAATCAGAAACTGTATTTTCACAGAGGACCTTAAGCGGATGTACCGGGAGAAGTGCAAGAAGGTGACGGGAGCGGAGAATGCGACCTTCTACCAGGAGATCGAGAAGGCGGCGGCCAAAATGAGCGCCTGCATCAGCGGCGTCGCCAATCTGACTGCCCTCCAGGCGGAGATGGAAGAGGCCAAGCCTTTGGGCGAGCTGGATACCGTCTTCCACAAGTACTGCCTGCGGGCGCCCGAGGCTGAGGCTTGCGTCAAGGAGTTCAACGAGAAGATGCAGGTGTGCCTTACCAGCGAGGAGAAGCGCCAGCAGGAGACAATAGCGAGAATTGGAGCATCCCTCCTGGGCTTTGCCTGCTCGAGGGGTGGCGACCAGATCGCTCTGTTCGTGGCCGAACAAGGACCGGAGTGCCTGGAGGCCAACAAGGATGCAATCAGCAACTGCCTGAACCGCTCCTTCCACCAGTACATCCCCAAGGACGGCCAAGTAGCCGACCTCATGAGTCGCCCCGAGCTGCTCTTCTCGCCCACCCACTGCGTCGATCTGCAGAGCTTCGAGGCCTGCGTCCTCCACCACCTGGAGCAGTGCTCCGAGATCACCCCCGCCAATGTCGTCCAGTCCATCTTCCGCTTCGTGAAGAACGAGACGGACTGCCAGGCCTATATGGAGGCGCGCGCTAACGAGCGGCCCGTCCTCCTTGCCGCCCGCAGCAACAGCACTGGTGGCGGTGCCAGCGACCTCTCCACCTCCACCACCCTGCTGGGTTCCCTGGTTCTAGGCCTCACATCCCTTCTTATCCGCCACTGAGGAGCCAGAATGCCACCATTAGCACCCCATTCCCCTCCCGCTAGAAGTACATATCCGCGGACCGATAAAGAAATCTTTTATAGTATTTCGGCGAACTTCAACGTCAGCCCCTCCTTAGTGGTTATATTTTGTATTTTTTTTTATTTCTTTCTGTTTGGTCAGTCAGCGATTGCGATAACGATAGCGATAACGGGTGGCCGGATAATGGTTCCCATGCATATGTGCTACCACTTTATTATGTATTACTTTTTTTTTCTACCGTAGTGAGTATTGAGAGTATTGGTACCATATAATTTAATGTCTCTTAAGGAATTGCTCATAATAAACGAGAGATTACTGAAAACAGGCACGCTTGGCTCTCAATCGAAGGACTGTCCAAGGTTGTTGTGGCGTCGGACGCATATCGAATGATCGGTGGAATTTGAGAATGGTTTTTGAAAGTTTACTCTTCTCCAAGAGAATGCTCAGCCCTGCAATCGTTCTTTCCTTGGAGGCTGGAAAACTAAAAGATTATCAGCTGTAAAAGAGTCCATAAGCGAACGGACATCATTCTGGGCGAATGAAACGAACAGGGATCATACCTCACGACTGATTCTGAATGAATTCTTCTGAAATTTCATTGACGGAAAGATGAGCGAAAGTGAAAGGCATTTGGGGCGAAAGGCAGCGTTATGCTGAAACAATCTCTGTAAAAAAACATTCCATGAACTATTTTGGTGCGTTCCATAACATTTTGTTACCATTTAACATTAATGAAAAAGTGCATTTAAATTTGCTCACCGCTTCCGATTTCCGACTTGGACTGACGCATATCTGTCCATGTGTACATATGTACATATGTATGTATGAATCACGCGAGCGGTCACCCTCTTTTTAGTTTACTTCTCTGATAAGATACCCGTACACCCGTACAGCCCCTACTCTTGTACGAATCCCAAGAGCCTACTTTCGCTGATCGATGGTGCGTGCGCCTCCCCCTCGAGCTTATCATGGGAAAAAAGCTTTCACGAGCAGCCCCATATGGTGGACGAAGCCATAGATCCAAGGCATACTCACGGGCTGAGCTTTGGCACAGTGGGTGTCTGTCTCGGCTCTCCGTTCGACAGAACGTGGTATCAGGTGATAACGCGTGGTGTGCCACAATAATAGCCACACAACATAATCGTAAATGAGGTGCTTATCGTTGTCATAAATGTGTGCTAATGAGCGGGCTTAGACTTGAGTAATTAAGGGGAATCTGTGGCCAAGTACGAGTATAATACCATGTGCTCTAATCACTCCTGCAGAAAAGAGTTATCAGATTGTTTTAAGTGGGCGAGAGAGAAAGAGTGGCTGTCCGGAGGTTAAATTGTTGCTTCCCATAACATTTTTTGGGTAGCAATTATGAGTCAGTCATCGTATTGGCTTGTGTGGAAATTTCGGCATTTCAGCCATAAAAAAATGTTTCAATGACTGTAATTTTTGGTATCAAAATTGTAAATGAGAATCATAAATTAATCAATGTTTAAAGCACACTGAAGTGTTTAATTTTGCCACATCTTATCCAAAACAAACAAGGGAGAACGTTGAGCACTCTCTCTGAATACTAGGCGCACATAAGGACGAACAGACGGACAAACAGACATGGCTCAATCGACTCGGCTATTGATGCTGGTCAGGAATATATATACTTTGCGAGCTCAGAAACGCTTCCTTTTACAAATCTAATATACCCCTATACTCTTTTTGCGCATCGGGTATAAAAATGGAGAGATATAGATAGAAAATAGTACATAGCTTCTTCTTCTGCGCGAATAGAATGTATGGAAAGCTTGCCAAATTGCGTGCAGATAAAGTCCTCATGGAGTGCTCACAGAAATCTCACCAATCAATCAAATCACAATTTAGATAAAGAACGCGAGAGTAAAAATAGAATGCAATGATTGATTATTGGGTCTGTACTTGATAGTAGTATAGAAAATAGATGTGTAATATGTTTGAACATATTTCCGACTTCATTCGATTGACATAGCCATGGCATTCCCTACTAAAGCGATGTGATACATATGTGCTCGGAGTGAGAGTGCCGCAGATCTCGCACCTCGACTCGATTAGATAAAGGCCTACGGCAGCTTCTAATTTAAGTTCTTCGAGCCGGAACTCCCCAACACATTCGTAGTATAATCAATCGCTAATCATTATCACAGCACCCAAAAAACTGTGGTAGGTTGAGTGTGATGAATGAGGTGTCAATGGAATAACCAGACATAGCACCACGATTAGGCCCCCAAGAAAGTGCATTCTTTCACGTTTTTTGAGGGCGAGACATCGCTTGGAAAATCACTTTATTATTTGGCTGAGGGGCTTCAGACTTCTGAGCTACTGAGCTACTGAGTATAGGTGTTTGAGCAAGAACTATAACTACGAAAAAAAATACACAATAATGCTAAAACTATTTCTGGTGTGTTAGGACTATTTCTTAGCGACGGGCACTGGGGGATGCAGCATCATCTGTTGCTGCTGCTGCTGCTCCAGGTCCGATTCCTGCTCCTCGACCAGGGCCGCTTCTAGCGCCGACTGCTCCTCTGCATCGTTGCTCTGGCCCTGGACGTCGTCCAGGTGCAGCCACACCTGCTCCACGGCTGCGCGCAGGGCCTCGGCATACCTCCAGGCACTGCGATCCTCGACCAGCTCGGAGAGCTCGTATTTTTTATCCGGCTCCCGGTAGTGCTGCATCTGGGCCACCGAGATGTCGACGGTGCGCGGATTGCAGGCTCCCGAGAGCCACTTGAGCGTGAAGTGGTTGTGCAGGGTCAGGGAGTAGCGAGTGTTGTGGAAGCACTTTGTGGCACGTCCGGGCAGCGAGTGGTTGCGATGCCGCAGCGTGTGCTGCAGCACGTACAGCTCGCCGGCCTCCTGCTCCTCGTGGTTGTGCGCCTCGGGCACCACTCGCGTGAAGTAGGCATTGATCATACACAACGAGGTAAAGCTGCCGGCGCATTTCCCCCCCTTGGCCTTCTCTATCTGGTGGGCTCGCTCCACCACATCCTGCCATGTGCGCTGCTCGCCCAGCGGCATGATCACCTCGTCGACGTCCACATTGAGTAGGTAGTCGTGCCGGTACATGTTGCGGTAGAAGCAGTCGTTGTAGGGTATCAGCTCGTTCAGTCGCTTCACCAGCCGGCGCTGCTGCAGCAGCATGTGCTGGTAGTGGCGCAGCCGGGGCATTCCGTTGGCCAGGGTCAGGGGCCGCAGCTCGAGGTATCCCGTCCGCTGGTAGTAGTCCAGGACCCGCTGCACTGCCGGATGAACGTCGTACATGTATGCATAAACCCGCGAGGCGCCCAGCAGTCGCTGCAGCTCAAACCACTCGATCAGGCGCTCCGAGAGGTCCACATACGGAAAGTCGAAGCCCTTGAGGCATACCCCGAAGCTCAGCAGACCTTTGGCGTTGGTCGCCGTGCTGTTAGAAATGGAAGTAGAGCTGCTGCTCGGTCGCTGCTTGGGCAGCTCAAAGTGCACCCTCAGGGAGTTGCTGGCCTTGTCGCAAGGCTCGACCACCAGGGACACGGTGCTGGGCAGGGAGTCCAGGATATTTGGGGGCAGTTCTTTGGGTACCGGACAGCTCAGCAGATGCGGATAGCTAAGCTGCGGCGTGTGGCCCCAGTTCTTGACCCATACGCTGACGAACTCGCTGACCTTCACGAAGATAGGCTCCCGGCGGCCCTTGTACCACAGCTGGCAGTGGGTGGGCGGAAAGTCGCTTCCGATCTGATTGGCCGTGGCCAGTACTCGCACTATGCGGCTCTTCACGGCCGCCCGCTGGTCCAGGTATGCGGCATATAGGCGGAAGGTCACGTTCCCGTTGAGGAAGGTCTGCCAGTAAATGTTGTGCAGATGCAGGTCGAGCGGATCCGGGTAGGGGGCACATGTGGCGTTCACCTTGTAGCCCAATGGCTTGGCGGTGCGATACCACAGGCCGTAGTCCACCTCGGGCAGCTCCTGCTCCAGCTGCCGCACCAGGGCCTCATCGATGGGTTCCTCCACGTCCTGCACTTGCGGCGGTGTGGCCTTTGGTTCCTTCCGGGCAACGTCGGCGGCCCGGGTCGGTACCAGGAGCTGGTCCGAGCGTTGCAGCGTGTTCAGGAGCAGCAGCAGGGCAAACAGGGCCGCCGACACCAGCAGCGTGAGTCTGAGAAATCCACTTCTTGTTGACATTATGCTCGAGAGCATACTGACAAATGCCTACAGAGACACCCGCCCCATGCGGCACAACGGCACAATGACGAGCACCTCGGAGAGAGACCGAGTTAGGCGACAATCTAATCACGCAAATGGGGCGATAACTACAGTGCTCTACGAACAATATGTTTTATCAACGAGCATGACCAAAAACAACGGCCACAACATGGCCACTACCTTCAACAGAATTCTCAATTAGCAGTTATTAGTGCAGCCCAATCCGATCCATCGTTATCCCCAAATCCAAGGGGCTGTCCAGTCCGACATTTGTTCCCATTCAAAATGCGTTCCCTGAGAGAATTTTTCTATAAGGCTGCACGCCAAGCAGAGCTGTGTGTATTTCTCTGATGGAATAATAATGGGAAATTAAGGGAAAATTAAGAGGAATAGCAGAGTTTGGGGTCACCAATATATTTGGAAGTCTGGTAGTCCTTTGAACCTGTGAGTCCTGGCAGGCAAAAGGCTAATCCCTTGTCAGGGATTTTGCTAATGAAACGATCAAATATGCATGAGCCGGACACACACACACACATGGCTTAGTCGGAGTAGGAGTTTGGAAAACTTAATTTTTGTGAAAATTGTTTCCTCAAAAACTACACAAAACTAGACCCTGGTCTCCCTTTCCCCTTTCCTCTCCCCTTCCTCCTTCCTCCCAAGGGGATCGTAAACGGTTTTGTTTTGTTTCTCTCTGCTGCTGCTCGCCTTATTATTTTTTGTATATTTTTTACGATTATAACTTTTTGCGTGTTTCCTTGCGCTGGCCATTTTTGCAAGTAATTTAAAAATAATTTGATGTTGCTCTGGTGGCTGGTTGGATGATGGGGCTGGTCTCCTTCCTCACTCCCTGACTCTCTGAATGGTGTGGCTGGGTGGTTGGTTGGTGGGGTGGCTGCTGCCTTGGGGCGAAGTTTGCTTTATTGACATTGTCACCCCGGCTCGTGACAATGAAAGAGCGCACCTGACGGAAGAGGATGAGCTGCACAGAAACGACAACATCACCGACAACGACAGGATAATAAAATTGTGAAACAACTTTTTAATGAGAAACACTTTTTGCACATTGCACTGCCCATCAGCATGAGGATGCGGATGGCAATGGCACTAGCGATGGCGATGGCTCTGGATCTGAATCTGGAGATGAGTCAGTAGTTGGTAAATTGTTGAACCCTGATGATGATGAGCCTGATGATGGGAATGGAATGAGTTTATACCTACGGCTCCGCATAGCTGCTGCTGGACTTTCACTTGTTGCGTCCCTCTAGCCCCACGCAATCGATACACCAGGACACCATTTCGCGGGACACTTGGCAGCAAGCGGAAAAAACTTTTGTGCCACCAGACTATCGACGCCATCAGGGCTCAGAGCGGGGCCACGCCCAGCAGCAGCAGTCGCCGGCCCGTCTACAATTAACAATGAACATTTTACGCCGCACTGGAAAACTCGGAAAAACTGGGGAAAAACTTCAAACTTTCCTCCGTAATTGCCCAGAAAAGTAACACAAATGAAACGCATCGACGCTTAATTACTTTTGCTAAATGGCACGAGGCCCAGAGCCAAAGCTGGAGCTGGAGCTGGAGCTGGAGCTGGAGCCCCTGACTGTGTTAGGTAAACAGAGTCCTGAGAAGCAGACTGGCGGTGTGGGGGAATGGGGAATGAGGAGTGGGTGAGGCACTGCAGTAGGAGAAGGCAGAACTACATTTGGCATGCGGGTGTTTGGCTTTGGTTTCGGCTTCATTCTGGCTAACGCTCTGAGTTTTCCTTTCCAGTGCCTGGCAATTTACGGCACTCGCTTTCCCACTGACATTGCTAAAATAGGGGTACTCTACTCCCGCGGGGTACTTTCGAAAGACATTTCACATGAGAATAGCTCTACAAGCACTGATCCCTAAGATTTCCATGAAAGAAACATATTTCTTAGAGGAGAAACATTGATTGAATAATCGTTCTTTTTCCGACTAAAGGGTATTTCCAAAGTCTTTCTGCTTTTGCCGCTGTTCTCCCGTTGATTGCCACAGCATTGAGGAGCGCATGTGAGAGACCTCGAGGGCTATGGAGTCGTCGGCACGATTTGACTTTTGTCGACGTCACAATTTGGAGAAGTTTACCCACTTCTGGCGCCGCCGCCACAAAACTTGGCCCAAAAAGTTACCCTGCCACTTGGTAAATGCAAGTTTTTGATTAAAAGCCTCCACCTAGCATACCCCCCCAGTGGCGTCGCCTGCTTCTGCCAGCAAAGTTTTATGCCAGAGCCAGAGCCAGAGAGAAATTGTTAATTGAATGCATTTTGGGGTCCCTGCAATGTTTGCCTATGCGTGATATGGGGCACTTTGCCAGGAGGCTAGTAGGCAGCCCCGAAGCAGCAGAAAGAAGGGGAATAGCCAAGCCCATTCAGTCACAATGCTTGCCAGAGCTCTGCCCAACACTTTAGCCTGAAAAATAACTGCCCAACACAAGCACAGCGAGCCGGTTTTGAACGGACAGTGTTGGTCAACAAATATTAGAATCTATTTATAGTAGTTTTTTTTTCGGAAATAAGCTTTGAAACGTTCAATGTTGGTAAAAATATAAAGATTTTCCATCCTTTCGAGTACTAGAAACTTTCAGTGTTGGTAACTCCTCTGCTAACTGTTCCAACTGCTGATGAGTTAAGCAAAAAGGGCGAGCACTCGGACTCTTGGGCTTGCAACATTTACGAGGAACACTCTTACCACTCCACTGCTTCGTGGCCCACTCCGGATGTGTCCAGGATGTGTCCCCCTTGGCGGTATGCCGATGGCCCACCTTGTTGGTGTCATTAAAGATGCATGGCCTGGCCCATCACCCAGAACAATGGTTTCTACACTGGCTGGCTTGCTTTTGTTTGAGCAGAGTATCTCTCGGACTCTCAGCCTGTTGCAGCAGTTGCAGCAGTTGCAAGGATTCCATTCCAATCTCAGAGACACACACACACGGTTTTCATTAGCCCAAATTGGTTGTGGGTATAAGGATTGTTCAAGGTAAGGGATAAGGAAGGAAACCCCTTAAAGTTAAGCGCCTGAGAATAGGACAAAAGTTGCCTTAAAGCCCCCGCTGCCAGTCAATGGCGATGATGATGATAGTCGGAATTCCAAGGATGAGTTCCTCCCACTCAGTGTCCATGGGCGGGGCACCATCGTGGCTGAGGAGGCAAAAACCCGAAAATAAAAGCAAACCAATGCCGGAGGAAAAGCTGAGGAAAAGCAGCTGCAGATTTTCTATAAAAGCCGAGGCTAACGAGATTTGATGAATTGCAAGTCTTTGTGAATGAAGCTACAAGAAAGCTGCAGCATGAATAGCCCCCAGGCGCTCCCCATAGCCCCACAGCACCACAGCCCCTCCCCAACCCCTGTCCCATCAGCGTCTAAGCCAGGTCCGCATAAAAAAACCCATTAAGTGGTTTAAAGCAGTGAAAAAGCGCACACAACACAGCAACAAGGCAAAAGGAAAAATGCAGTTGACATGAAAGGCAGCAGCAGCCACGGCAGAGCAGACGAGACGGGCAAAAGCTCCAGAAGAGGCAGACAGACAGTTGAAAAGAAAGGGGGAGGCAGGCAGACAATGTTCGCCCATCCACAGAAAGAGAGCGAGAGAGGGAGCCATGAAAATATGGAGGAGCTCCAGCAGGACAAAGCAGCTTGACGAATTACTTGGCAGCCGCTTCTGGAGACACGGGGGCGGGGAGAAGACACTGCAGAACGATGCAGGGCGCAAGAAATTTAATTTGACCAACATTTTGATGTATCAAGTTCAGTCGGAGTAGAAGATTTATGACTTGCTGACAGGAACAAGCGAAGGACAGGGACACCAACAGATTGTGATGTCAAATGGTGTGCAGAAGGAGGAGCAAAAGGGGGCGAAGTCGGGCTTAAGTTAAAGCCTAAAGATGCGGCATGAAGCGACCGTACATACTGCTTTGAAGTTTTGAAGATTTGAGAGAGCTTTAAAAGACTGACGGCTATCGCAACAGCTTATTTTTGAAAGTTTGCCCCACAATTAGCTTTCGGCAAAAGCTGAAATGTTAGATATGTATGAAGCTCTCCTACGATCGGATCGTTGTTCAAAGAGCTTTCACTTGGACTTTGCTTGCGATCGGTGACAAGCTTTTAAGCTGAAGCTCTACTCCACTCTGATGCTGCTCTGCTGCTCCAATGGAAACGCTCAACGCCAATGAAAAATGAAAGTAAGCGGACAACTTTTGAGCAACACTTCCCGCATATCCCATTTCCACTTGCCTCCTCCTCACGTAATGGGCCCAATGGAAATGAGGAAAACAAGGCCTCGACTGGACCCCACTTGATTTTGGAGCTAGTTTTGGAGTTTATACCGATAAATGCCCGTCACTGTGGTTTTCACTGTGACTGTGACTGGGGTAGACTCTGCCTTAAGCCTCAAAATGGGAGATTCAAACATCAGTTGAGGCATTCAGGACTGAGGGTGTAGCTAAAAACAATACAGATACAGTGAACGAAAGATGGCTCGACTGTCGGCTTTGGGTGTGGCCTTGCTGCTACATTCGGTGATTGGGATCTCCTACTACTACTTCTTCAAGATGGGGCGTTGCTCCTCGCAGCCCTCGCCCATCTTGGGCAACTGGCTCTTCACGGTCTCCGTCGTTTCCGTGCTGCAGGCGGTGCGCCTGATACCCAGCGAGGTCCCCGATTTCACGGCCCTGGTCCTGGAGACGATCATGTGCTGCTTCGTCCTCGACCTGATGCTGACCAAGCTGTGGTGCCGCATCGAGAGCCTGGTCCATTGCGCCATCGTTGGGGTCCTGCAGATATGCCCCGTCGGCGATGATACCTTCCTGACGTACGAGTACTGGACGCAGGCGATCCTCACCACAGTCATTGGAGCCTGTCTGCTCTGGGTGACTGCCTGGGCCATGGCTTTGCCCCGGCGGCTGCAGCATGGGCTCCAGTGCTGGCGCCGTAGCTGCCATCGACAGCTCTCCCGTATGCTCTTCTCCAGCATGGAGACACGGCCGCCGCTACGCCAGGAGAGCTCCTTAAGCTTTGCCGCCTGATCGGACTACCCACTCTAACTCCTACTCCTACTACTACTCAAAATTATCTGTTCAAATCGAGAAAATAGCAAAATTTATGGGTTAAGTAATGCTAAGAGCATTTTCAATAGCATCGACTCTGGCACAGTGGGTCCTGATATCACGAAAAAAGCCTCAATTTCGAACCAGATCCAAGCCAAAGATTGTACAAAAATAAATAGACTTTGAAAAAAAAAGAGAAGATTGGGGTACACTTTATCCTTACCTGGCTCCCAATTGGTTCCACTGTGCGGTGATGTCGCAGCGAACAAGTAAATCAAACTGGAAAAGCACTTCCATTTTCATTTCCATGGCGATCGAAAACCCGTTTAACCGTATCATGGCCATGCGGCAATGCGGAAGAGGCCTCTGTCTAATTGTGGGCTTCGGAAGACGGAACCGGCGGAGCCTCCAGAGCCAGGAGCCAGGCACAGAGACACAGCCAAATCTGCTGCTGTTGCTGCTGTTGCTGCTGCTGCTGTTTGTGATGTGTGATCGAAGGCTAAACTTGAACTTGAAGCATGGCCAAAATGCAACACGCAACAACATGCAACATGCCGCTGCCGCTTCCAAAGAACTGCCAACACGCAAAGGCAACTGGAAGCTGTAGCTGTAGCTGCCACCGAGCCACCCCGCTATGCCTTGGCGCATTTGGCAATTGAGGAAAATTGAGGAAAATTGGCAAGTGGCCGACAGACGGAGTATAAAAGCAGCTGCAATCGACTGAGCCGCGTTAATCGAAGCGCGTCGCTGGAAAAGTGCAAGTGCTTTCCACGCTCCCATCGTGCAGTGCATCCGAGTATCCCAAATTGCAATTGAAAATCCCTTGAGGTGAACATCCAAAGTGTCTGCTTTATTTTGCTTGTTTGTGTGAAGCTTTTAAGGGGAACCCCCTGCATTTCTTTGGATTCTTTTCTGACTCTTCTTCTCTGATCGATCCTCCAGATGCTGTGCCATCGACACATCCATTGCCGCCTGCTGCTGGCAGGACAACTACTGGTGCTATTGCCACTCATGCAATCCTCGCCTGTGTCCAGCCCCGAGATAGCCAACAAGGCCGCCCAGTCGCCCAACAGCCTCCAGGTGCAGCAGCAGCAGCAACAACAACAGCAGCAGCAACAGCAGCAGCAACAACAGCAGCAACAGCAGGAAGCGCACCTCAACTCTCTCAGCGCATATGCCAGTGGATACGACAGCCTGGCGCAGCTCCAGATGCAGGGGCAGATCCAAAGCCAGATCCAAGCACAGAACCAGGGCCAGGGACAGTCCCATTCCGAGGCAGATCCCTCCTCCTTCAAGCCCTCCTACAAGATGCCCGAAATGGAGACCAACTTCACGCCCATGCAGACTGCGGGGACGCCCAGCGTGGCCAGCCTGCCATCCACACCCATGCTGATGCAGTACCTGCCCGCCCAGACCCTGCAAGATGGCACCGGCACCGTGCAGTACCTCCAGCTAATTCCCACGCGACCCATCATCGTGCCCATCAGCCCCTATCTGCAGGCGGCTGCAGCCGCTTCGGGCAACATGCCCTCCCCGCCAGCGCCCAGTGTGGTGGCAGCCCCACAGCCTGACTTTTCCGGCCGGGCAGCCACCGTGCTGAGCGCCCTGCCCCCCAACTATGGGGCTTTGCAGGGATATGCCACTGGAATCAACCCTGCGGCAGCATTCCGCAGCACCTACCGCATCAATCGCGAGGCCAAGGACAAGAACTATCCGCCCACGTTTTCGCTGAACCTCAACGAGTATCTGCCCGCCTCCTCTGGGGGTCATGATGCCAGCTCTCATTTGTACCTCAGGGCACGATCGTAGGAGAGATCCAGCCAAAGTCACAGATTGCTCTAACACTTAAGACTCTTTCTTTTTTTTTTGTATCAAACCCCAATTAAAGCTGATGGAAAAACGAAGAAGATACGGCCGTAAGAACAAGAAGAACACCCTTAAATGGAGCAAGGAAAAATATCTAATACCACTTTACTGGAGCCAAATTTAGGCCAGCTCTTCAAAATTTCCCAACACCAAAAACTAAACCCAAAGAATGTGTGGTAATGGGTTCCGTTTAGACTTAGGGGCAATCCACACCTTTCACTTGCATACCAAATGGAAGCCCCCTTAAAGTAGATCGGAAAGTGGAAGAACTGAGAGTCTGGCATGGGGTTTCCGCCTTTCGTTTTCGCACCTACAGATACCACACGCGGACCCAGGGATGACCCAAGACGGAACCTCGGAGCTCGCCAACGGTTACCGAATCTAGACTGTTTGTTTGCACAGCCGCCAGACGAGGGACGGGGCAGGCACTCAAAAGCTAAAAGACAAACCCAAAGACACACAAAGGTTGGGGGTGCCGGTGCCCCCAACAAGGTCGTCTTTGGACGCGGACAGAATGCAGCACCATTGTTTTTGTGCCCCGGAGCTTGTTTGTTTGTTTCTTTCTGTGTGTGAAAGTGAGCAACAATTTCACGCCCGACCGGAACAGAGTCGAGTAATAGTCAGAGTCGTGTGTCTTCCAGAGAGCGCAGCGCGTATTACGCTGACACATGGACAGGGAGCAGACATACCCATAGGCAACCTTGAAGTTGCATCAGAGTCTGTGCGTCTGTGAGTCTGTGAGTCTGTGTCGTGTCTCCCTTTCATCTGTCTACTCCTAATTGTCACAATTTGACAAATTCATTTGGCATTAACTGCCCTCAAATCGGAATGGAGCTTTCATTGGCTCCCCTTCAGCGCCACAGCGAGTGCCAGAGGGCATGCGGCAGTCCTCAGCGGGTGTGGTTGGTAGGGGGGAGGGCTAAGCCCAAAACATCTTTCACTTGCCGCACTTATGTAGAGCAAATGGCCGAGGGCTCTCCCTCTCCCTCTGTTTCTCTGTCTTTGACAGACCACGAAGTGGGGATACTCTTGAACTGCCTGAAATCTGGATGGCTGCCAGATTATTGTAAATGATGTATTAGCGTTTTGAGGAAGCAAAGAAGACATCACTTTCTATTTCTCTCTTCTGGAATATCTTCTAATATTAATAAGTTTGAATGATACAAAATGGAAGATAAAGGGATGTTCATTGATACAAGCAATGAGTGGAGTTTTAAGCAAAAAATGTCTTTATTTGTTACACTCCAAATCGAAGAGTCTATCACATGAATGCTTCTCCCCTTCTGTTAGGGTATTGGCTGGCAATTCGAGGGGCATTACATGCCACATTCAGTGCCACAATTCACTTTCAATCACCGAAATGTTCCACATGTCGTCGCAGTCATTGCGTCGTCGTTGCATTGATGTTATGGCCAATGTTGCCGATGAGGCTCTGATGATGATGAAGACGCCCCGTGGCGTCCGTCTCTGGTCTCTGGTCTCTGGTCTCTAGATGGATCCCTTGTAATGAGATTTGGATGGTCAGTCGGCCAGGGTAGGGTTCAGGGCTTGGATGATTGGGCGCACTTGTCTCGCGACTCCACGCTTTTTGGGAGCGGAAGTGAGCGGTTATCGATGCTCTCAGCCCAACAAAGAAATGCTTCTCACACTCACCTCACTCCAGCTCTAGTTGTTCGAATGGTTCGATTAATAGCCAAAGTTTTCTTCTTCTGGATGACTTACAGAGCTGTCTGGTCTGGTCTGATCTGAGACAGGCAGTTAAGTAAGGTGGAGCCGGGGCTTAAGCTGGAGCTGGAGCTGAAGCTGTGGCTGGGGCTGGGGCTGGGGCCCGGGGCGCGCTTCACTTGTCCGACGTTGTTATAACACTTTAAAACGCGTAAATTAGCTCTGTGGCCTGGTCTTTGTTGTCGGTGGTTTTGGGGCGGTGCTCGCTTGCTTGTAGCTTGTTGCATGGTGCCTGTTGTTGTTGCCCGGACCGGAGTTTGAAATGATTTCAATTTGAATTTTTAGCTATTTACTTTCCTTTTCAATTAATTGCCCGAGCTTTAAACGGATCCACTCCACACCACACCAAGCCGATCCAACAATCCAACAATCCACCAATCCAATCCAATCCAATCCAATCCGAGCTCACTTCAGTCCTTTCTTCACTCATCTGCACCAATGCCTTCCATTTGGGAGAGAACTCCGAGCGGACTCTGATCAGAGCCCTGACCAGAGGCCGGGCGGTATAAAATGACTTCCACAGCTCGGCTCTGTCGCAGTCGCTTCAGTGGTCGTCACATGGTCGGTTTTAGCTTCAGTTTCAGCCTCTTCGGGTCTTGGCCTCTATTTCGGCTTTAGTTTTGTGTTCATTTTTTCTGTTTTGTGTGCTCAAATATTTTGTTAATTTTTGTTGTGTGACTTGGTGAATGTTGTCTGTGCTGGTTGTGGCTCACACCAAGGAGCGCTTACCACGCATCAATCCAGCGTCATTACCATCGTCTGCAGCAGAAGCGGAATCATTACCAGGGAACACCATAAGGAGATACCAGAATTATGGTGCGTATGCTGAATGTGTTTAAAGACATGGAATATAGGTATATTTGGAACCAGATGGAATATAGTTCATGCAGACAGAACGATAAATGACACAATCGATATCTTAGCAGAAAGAACAAATACAAAAAAAATTATATAGATAGATAAGAAACAAGCGCATTTCATAAATTAATTCATGTGGGCAAAAGATGGAAAGATAGAATACTTTGCAGTAGATGAAGAGATTGTTCTAAAAAGAAAATATGCTTGTCCACTATGGACTATGGATAATGTTGGAAGATGTCAAACGAATCTAAAGAACTCCCCGACAAACGAAACTGTTCGGCTTACATCGAACTCTTACATCACTTTTAAATCTGATTTAAAATAATGCCACCGCAGATACCTATAGATATAGATAACAAGAGACTTCGGGAGAGGGAGAGAGTGAGTGGCTCTAATGAGCCAATCTACGACAATTTCATGCTTCATGGATTGATTGATCATATGTCAGCGGAGCTTGAAGCTGGAAGCTGGATCTGTCCAAGGGTATTATGGTATTATGGTCTACACAATGAAAGGGAAAGTTTTGTATGGTAGTGAGGTAGCCGCCAGAAATGGATATAAGAGTTCATTGGCATGGAATGTTAAGACAAGTCCAACCCCGAGGCCCTCTCAATGTGACACTGTTCAATGGGTTCTATTATGTTTCAGACTCTCTGTCATATGAGTGATTGACATTGCCCTAGAACCTCATCAGAGATGAGCGGCGCGGCCACCAAGTTTGTGTCTTGATTCTTTTGTTTGCTTTTTTTTGTGTGCATGTTTTTGAATGGGACAAAGACGCAAATTACGCATGTTAACGATGCGCCTCCATTAGCCACGCTCTGGGCCATCAATCAGCGCTGCATTTGCCGACCTGACCGATGTGACCTGCTCCGATCATTAGCCAGGGCCGCCAAAAATAATTACAGGCCCCCCAAAAGCCCCCTGGAAACTGGGGCACGCATGAAGTTGCAACTCAGTCGTAGTTTGGCAGCGCGATGCCAGAGGCAGTTTCGCAGGTTTCGATTTCGTTTCGCAATGTTGCAACATCAGCATGGAATGCTTCTTCTCCTCCTTCTTCATCTTCATCTTCATCGGCGGCTGTGGAGCCAGAGCTTCGACTTAGACTTCGGCTTCGACTTCTTGCGTGACAAATGGTCATAAGTGGCTCCGTAAGTCTATGTGCTTGTATTTTAGAAAGGCCGATTGGCGAGTGGCTTATCAGTGGCGGAGTGTGGCCTTGTCCTGGTCGTGTTGCACAAAACAGGTGGAGCACAGATAAGGTGCAGCACCCACCCACAGTTTACAGTTTACAGTTTACAGCCCGCAATCGAAAATCTACAAAAGAGAAAAGGCTTGGCCTGAGCAAATTTCACGGCAAATTTGTCTCAGTTCACAATCTGTTGATCTTTCCACTTGACTGCAAAAAAGGGGGAGTCCCTCCACTATCCCTCTCCCATTTCGAGCCAAATTAAAAATGGTCAAAACTCAATTAAACGCATCAATGGTCACTGGTGGCTGGTTGCAGTGGGCGTGGCAGCGGCGAAAGGCAGCAACAGCAGGTGCAGTGGCAGTGGCAGTGGCAGAAAAACCTTTCACCAAAATGTTTGCCACCTGTCGTCTGTAATCCATGGGGCCCTTCTAATCACCCAATTGCCTCCTGTCGCTAATCCACCTGTACCTCCTCTCCCACAGGCATTGCATCACCTGCTCCTAATGATCGTCACTTTGTCGGCCGTGCAGGCCGTCCTCTCGCCCCCGCCTGGCTATGATGACGACAGCTCCCCGCTGCAGCTGCGCCTGGAGGATCTGGAACGGGAACGACAGCGCGAACGGGAACGGGAACGAGAATCGGAACAGGATCTGGAGCAGCATTTGGATGTGAATCGGCCGCCCCTGCTGCCCAATCACTACGAGTGGCGGCCAGGTGTGGCGGCGAGCCTGCCGCCCAGCTATGTGCAAGAAGCTGCCCAGCGGGAGCGGGACCTGGAGGAGCTGCGGCAACTGCAGAGGCAGCATCAGCAGCTGAGTGCGGGATATGCGTTTCCCGCCCACTTGCCGGCGAGCGTTTTCTATGTGTGAGTATGGATGGGCTTAAGGGAGAGCTTTAAAGCTCGCTAGGAGTGGAGCTTTGCCTCCACTTATGAAGCTTTTAGCTGAGACACGACACCTTACACCCAGCTCCATCTATCGCAAATGATTTGATCTTTGGCAGAGAGAGTGTGCTTTAGCGCAGAGCTTTTAAGCTCTGGCGTGAAACAAAAGACTGACGGCACAAACTGTGGAATAATTTATTGAAGGGAAGCTTCCAAGAGGGAACGATATGCATACCTACAGGCAACGAAGTCTTTAATGTCAGTACTGATTGGAGGGCTGAT